CTTTTTTTTTTCTACCGGGCATACCAAAAATTAGTAACAACAAATCTCATCCCCCTATACATTAATCCAGAACGCGCTGAGCCTACGTGACTGCTTCTGGTGCTTCGAAATCCTATGGGGCAAAATTACATGCTTCGTTATTAGACTTGGGTAAATTTAAATTTAATTCCAAACCAAAAATAGTTAGATTTGGATTACCATAAATATGTTGATTATTTATGGTCATGTTACATGTATTAATTGCATTTTAATATCATTCCTTATTATAACTATTGAATTTTATATATATTTTAAAAGTTAATAACTTTTGTATTTTTTATCAGTTTTACATATGTAATATATCAAATTAATCTTCTTTTGATGAACTTCGATTTAACATCCATATTGTATGTATAAAAAAAAAAATTATATTTATTTTTATAACAATAATAAAATTATTTTTAATATTAATTAGAAAAATAAAATTATTTACCAACTAATATATTTATATTTCAAGTAGTTATATGGTATAAGTTATAAAAACTAATATAATATAACACATGTAAGTCATAAGTAACACATATCATTCTAAAATATATAGTAATATATTTTTTTTTGTAAAAAAGTAAACTAAATTTAATATAGTTTTCTCATTAATTTTAAAATTTAAGAATAATTTTTTAACAAGCACCTGTGTAATACACGGGTGTTGTACTAGTGTATTTAATTTATAAACGCGAAAAATATTTTACAAATGAAGTTCTTGAGTCAAGTGAATTTTGCGGATTGTAATCTCTATTTTCTCCTTTGAATTTTAAGTCTTGGAGCGAAATTTGAGTTTTCGAATAATAATCTTCTCAAGAATATTATGTGTCGACACTCAATAATTTTTTGGACAGATTTACGTCGCTTTTTTATTATTATTTTTTTATTTTATGGGGCATTTTCTTTGAGTTTTCAAATTGGTTTGAGAAAGGGATCATGAAGCTCCAGTCTTAGGTGAAAAAGAAAACTCCGGGAAACAGTATACGTTCACTGTGCAAGCTTAATTATTCGAGTATAGTATTGTATATTCCTCGGGCATAAAGTATAAACGTAAGATGGTTGTGATGGAAAATCATGAAATATATGACATTAGGTTAGTGTAATATATGACATTTCAAGTACTTTATTCTCATTTTTTGATGTGAAAGTGAAGTGTGTTAGCGTTTTCTAACTTTTATTGGACAAAGGTGGGTTCATATACTGTAATACCGGCCTAGGCTGTCGATAATCAGATTGTAATCAGTGTATGTTTACATAATTGATTACGAGAATCTGGTGGTTCATGCAATTAAATGGCTTACAGAGGTGCTTTATCACGAGACGAATGACATTCATGCACGTGTACATGATGACGTCTGGTCGACGTGAGACTAATTGGTTGTTCCATATAGGGTTTCGCCCCTTTAAATATCCACCATCAGTACCTGCTATGAACAACTTCTTCCTTTTGATTTTCGAAACCATTGCCTCCTTGCAAATCAAGTTCAAGGTAACAATTTCGATTCCTTGAAAGCAAAATTTTTGGGGCATTGAAAAATTTTGGTCTTTTGCAGAAAATGATGTTCTTAATTACAGTGCCTTTTGTATTTCATTTATCTGAATGAATTACCATGTGACTAAGTGTAAAATCTATCCTCATTAAGAAACTTTTCTTGCTTTATCTAGTGCTCATTCAAAATGATTTGATTTTATTCGATTTGCGCATTTGATTGATATGCCAACTTTAGTTCAAATAGGAGAGCTAGTTAGTAAAGAGCTCATCTTTTCTATATAAGAGTTATAAATTATGATAAACTTGATTAGTGTTCTTCTGGATTTCATTTGATTATTATGACAATGTACATTATAATATAGTTCTCTGTACAACTATGCGCATTTCACATGTAACCGAAGGACGAGGAGGAGAGCACTAGTGTAACTTGTGTATAAATAGCTCTCTAAGTTTCAGCCAAATAGTTGTACAGTATCTCCTTAAACTTTTCTATCATGCCAACTATATCTATAACTTCTCTTTGGTTTGAACTTTTTATGTCAGATCAGCAGAAAATCGGCCGCAAGACATCTGAATATATCTCGTATCGTCGATGGACCATTTCTTTGAGCAGCTGGTTCTCATAAATCATCTCTATTTTTTATTTTTTTCCTTATATATTCGCGAAATAGTGCTCTGTACTTTAGTTCTTGTATCACTCACAGAAGTTTTTTAACTTCAGATCCAAAAATCCACACAAAACCAGGATATCGTGTGGACGGGCGAATCCTGGTTTTGCAGCAATCAGGTGAAGCACTATCCAGCTTGCTCCAAGGGCTCTACTTACATACCCGTGAGTCTCGAATTTGCATTATCTACAATATTGCCTCCGTAAGTAACTAAAGGCGTGCTTGTATACAAATATATCGAACTTTGAATTTGTATTAAAATAATATTTAGAATAAATAATTAAAGATGATTTGATGTAAAAGTAGAAGAAAGATGATGTGAAGTGATGGTTAGTTAAAATTCATGTGAGTTGATGAATAGTGAATTAAAGTTGATGGGATGTGTAAGAATAATAGATTGATTTTATTTAACTAAATTGATAATACTGAGGACAGTGAGAGGATTGGTTAAAATTGAGTTAGATTTTGAATATGAATTGAGATTATTTGTATACAAACACACCCTAAACCTCACTAACCTCGTACACTCACCTTCAGGTCCACTCCTTTGTATGGATCCTGGACGACGGTAAAAAAAGCTTCCCGGCCTACGTGGAAGACTTTTTCGAGGACTGCCGGGGCCAGAAAATGGTCAAGCTGCGGCCCTTCCTCTCGGCCTCTGAAGTCGAGCCTCTGGTTCCCGGTCTGAACCCTCATTCTCGAGAGGTCTTCATAACCCCTTCTCGGTTGGAGATCAGCGCAAGGCACGTCAAGGGCCCCGCGGAGGTTCTCACGCCCAAACATTTTCTTCAGCACTCGTCAGCTGAAAGCTTGGTCTCGTACAGGGAGTTTGTGAACAATCGGGTCAGGCCTTTTGCTCTGAATGAGCTGTCGGGATACGCGGACCAGCCGGCTGTCTCGTCTCGCGAGGAGGAAATAATGGGCATTGTTTACGGGCTCCCTGCTGCAGGTGGGCCCCACGACACGGTCATGTGGCTCAAGAGGGGCGAAACGGTAAAAAAGAGGTTGAAAAAAGCGAAGAAGGTAGAGGTCGAAAGCGAGTCTTTCCCCAAGGTCGGTGAGAATGTGGAGATTCTGTGTCAGGACAAAGGGGTGAAGGGCTGCTGGTTCAGGTGCAAGGTTTTGAGTATGCTGCCAAAGTGCCTCAGGGTCATGCACTGTGATGTCAGCAATGTCGATGGGTCTGGGCAGCTGGAGGTATGTGTACGAACATATTTTTCTTTTTTCGAGCCTGTTAATTTGACTGATTCACCATGAACTCGGACCGGAACTTATCATTACATACGTACATAGGATTGGGTGCCGAAAGCCAGAGTAGCCTATCCTGATGTACTGGAGATGAGATGCGAGGGCCGTCTTACAGTGAGACCGTGGCCTCATTGGAACTCGTCCGACTTGGCGGCTGAGGTGGGTACCGCAGTTGACGTGTGGTGGTATTCCGGCTGGTGGGAAGCTGTTGTGACCGGAATCGACACTTCTGAACAACCCAAGATTCAAGTCTATTTGCCAGGTTATTTTGCTGTCATTTGGAAACTGCCTTGTCCTGTTTATCCTCTTGTTCGCCATTTGTGACATGGGTGGATTTTTGTATTATGATAGGCGAGCAAAAGTTCTTGTTCTTCGAGCGGAAGGACGTTAGAGCTTCCAAAGATTGGGTTGGCGAACAATGGGTGGATGTGAAGCCGAAGCTCGACATTCTTTCTTTCCTAAACTCGCATCTGAACCCGCTGCCTAAAGTGAAACTCCCTCAGTTTACGTACTCTGGCGGAGTCGGAAGATCTGAGAATGGCAGCAAATCAGAATTGTCGAGTTCGTCTGGTTTGAATCGGAAAAAGAAACAGAGACACGATCGTGATGCGAATGATAACAGTATCATTGCAGAGTAAGTGATGAGTGATGCTCAAGAGACACTAGTCACTAGCAGGCGTGATGATGTCAGCACTGAGGTAGCAAACGGTCTTGTGAGAATTTCGTCACTACATTCGTCATTTCCAATTTCAACTTCTTTTGATCATATTCTTTTTGACAGTCAAATGTATGAACAAAATTCTTCGTACTTTTCATCAGAAAAGAAAAAAAAAATATATTATTATTAATTGCAATTTCCTTGGACTTTCGTAGTTCTTGTTTTCGGACAGAAAACGCTACGGTCCCGTTACAGAACCATTCCGTCGAAGTTTGTAACCGTTAGATCAACTATCTCCAACGATTACATGTGATCTATAAAACACAAAAATCCCTCAAACTTGAAGAGCAAGTTAGCTTCCTCAACTGCCATCTCCTATAAAAACCTTAGCAATATACCTCAATCAAGAAGAAAACAACTGAGAGTTAACACCAAATTTAAAAAATAAATAAATTAAATAATCCCACACAGCACTCTCCTTTTCTCTTTACTCTTGAGAAGCCACTGCCTTAAAAAATGGCAGAATGTATGTTAAGAAGTGCCTATCCACCCAATTGCCAAATAACAAATCTCTGCAATCTCATAAGCCAATACACTTTCTGCACGAAACTCAACAATTCCTGCAAATCCACTTCTCAAGAACTCAACCAAGATCAAATATGGCTCGAGTTAAGACAGGAAGCCGAGCTCAACGCTACACGAGAGCCCTTCTTGTCGGAATTCTTCGACTCTGCCATTTTATCCCACGCATCACTCGAAAGCGC